CGTACATACATACACGCACATCGTTTAGTGATTATTCATCCAACAAAGTATAACATCCGACGATTGCTTTTAATATCTCGTGTGATATACATAAATTTCATATATATATATATATATACATATATACGTAATATTTTTTAATAACAATCAGATTAAGTATAATTTCGCAAAAGACGCTTTGTTCAAACATTATTCAATATTTTTGTGATTAACCTTTGCTTACAACACTTGGTCCCAAAGGACCCAGACCTTTTTTACAACTTGAATCATTTTTCTCAATTGTACTCAACTTTGAATAATTTTTTAAACATATTTAAATTTAATTTAAAATTATAAAACTTATATAGTCTTTTTAAGTAAGTATTAAAGAAGTCTGAAAAAAAATGTTGAAGTAAATCTATGCAATAGTTAATTTTTTATAACAATTTTTCTCGCCTAAGTCCAAGACGAGTTACTCCAGGCGAGGTCCTAAACGTGTTACTCCAGGAAGGGTGGTAAACAAAGGTTAATATATCACGTTACAGGTGATTATTGTTACAAAAAAAGTGTTTAACATATATTACGTATATATATATATATATATATATATGTTTTAGATATTGATTTGATCATACGTTTAACTATTGTAATCTCATAACATTGGAATCATATGGATCTTAACGATAAACTGTACAACATTCATGCTTAAAAATTATTATTACTTATTATTATTATTATTATTATTAGCGAAGGAGTTTTCGCAGTTTGATTGATCGCACCATAACACATCGTTACACGTTACATAAGTTGTTTTTTTTTTTATTGCAGAATATCATTGAAATTATTAATTTGGAACAATAAATTGCATTCCTTCATATCAAAAACATTGAATAATCGTGTATAGATATATTGTTGTAATATATGCATTATCAATGTATAAGTAAAATCTGTAAAGATCCTATAGATCTATTTTTTGTATAATCTCTTTAAATCCTTCAAAAGTGTTTTTTTTTTTTAATTAATGATAACTAATTTTTCTAGATTTTTTTTTTTTAATTTCTTCTTTTCTTTTTTTTCTTCATTTTTCTTTTTTTTATTCTATTTTTTTTTTCTTTTTTTCGTTTAAGATTATTGCATAAAAGTGGAAAGCTGCAAGTATTTTGTAAGCTATATATTATTCGAATTATGTTATATATGTGATTAATATGTTACTAAATATGTGTTGAAAAAAAAAATAAGAAATAAGAAGAAAAATAAATAATAAACGTTAGCAATTCATTTGATTATTATCGCATTCCCAAAGTTATTATTATTATTATTATTATAATAATAACATTTCAAGTAATATTTTCGTTTCTTTTTTTTTCATATTTCTTTTTCTTTCTTTCTTTCTTGCTTTCTTTCTTTCTTTAATACGTATGCATATTTTTCAGAGCATGCTGTGTCATTTAAATCACAATTATAGTTTAATCATGAACTTTGAAAATTATTATTTATGTCATTAGCGTTATATTGAATTTTATATAAGCGTCTGATATTTGCTTGTGCTACTACAAAAAGCTTTGAAAAAAAAAAAAAGATATATATATATATATGAAAATGATATATTATCTATATATATATATGAAAATGATATATTATCTATAAAATTGTTAACTTTATATATTCATCAATTTCATGAAACTACAATAATAATTTTTAAATTTTAATAACAATTTTAATAACAATTAATAATTTTCTAAAGTTTGATTAAATGTAGGTTTATTATTATTATTTTTTTAATGCAATTCCTATATCAATATTTATCATAGTTGAAGTTTCTCAAAATGAACAAATTTTGTTTTAGATTAAAATAATATTGACAGATATATATATATAGATATATGAAAATGATATATTATCTATAAAATTGTTAACTTTATATATTCATCAATTTCATGAAACTACAATAACAATTTTGAAATTATTTCTCTCACGCGACAATTTCAATAACAATTCATAATTTTCTAAAGTTTGATTAAATGTAGGTTTATTATTATTATTATTTTTTTAATGCAATTCCTATATCAATATTTATCATAGTTGAAGTTTCTCAAAATGAACAAATTTTGTTTTAGATTAAGATAATATTGCATATATAATTTGAATAAATTTAAAATAAGAAAAAAGCAACGCTTAATTTATACAATATTTTTTGTTTGTTTGTTTTTAGTACTCTTTTAGAGAGTACATTATTATTATGTGCAAGTTTTTTCATAAAATATTACAAACAATTAATATTTCTTTTTTTTTTTTTAATTTCATCAAAATTCGCAATAACAAATTGCAATTAATAATGAAAGCATATATGTATATATATATATATATATAAATTCAAAGAGAGAGATTTCAACAAAATGAAATATTACGTTTATAATCTTTTATAAAGATAGTGGTCATAGCGCTGATATTTATTCCTGGTTGGATATAGGCGCTCTCCTTTGAAGATTGGTAAGCATAGAAATAAAAATGAAACATTAAATGAATATATTTTTTTTTTAACTTCGAATTATTCAATAGACCTTAATTGTTCGATACAAGACACAGCCATGCACTTAGAATTATAATCAAGCGGGCTTTTCACCGATGCAATAACAGCCCAATTATCATAAAATTAGCATATGCATATTACAAATAAATAATAGCAGGCAATTTGATAGACTGATATATTTCTATTTATAGAATTTATATATATATATATATATATAAAATACATTTTATACATATATATATATATATATATGTATGTATTAAATAAAACTATCACAAGTGACAGTATTGATATAGGATACATTTTTATTAATGATAATAATTAATTTATAATTAATTTCATCATATAAATATACTACACTGTTGTATATAATTGATTTGCAATATTTTCAAATTCACTCATTTCAAATAATTTTTCTTTCTTTTTTTTTTCTCTCGCGCACAATATCTTTTTAATATATATGATATAATATAATATAATAATATATATGTCCTAATATCATACGCACGCAATGCGCACTTAAGATTAATAGGAGAATGGGTATTATAATGAATATACGAAATAGTAGTAACTATTATATTTATGCCAAAACTATATACTTCGACCGTTTAGAATTTAACAAAAGCAATATATTTGAACATAATTTTTGATACAAAAGAAACTATTTATATATATATATTATATATATATATAATATAATATAATATAATATAATATAATATACTATAATATAATATAGATATATATTATATAT